GTTTTCGGCTCATGGGGGTCGGTATTGCAGAACACATAAGTGACATCACGCACGGGAGGACGAGGGGTGCAGCAGCAGTCAGACACGGGGGACAGTGGTCCACATCTGATGTACGGACGTATTGTAATTGACTCATAGGCGTCCTGTTTGTAATCATGCCACTGCCGCGCAGCAAGAGGAGGAGGAAGGGTGGGAGGGAAGTGTGGCAGGCCTCATTGATCTTGGTTGGTTGTGAAATCGCTGAGGTCATCTCGTCGGATCGCCTGTAGCAAAGATTTTGTTAAAATCACAGGGCACTAGTGTCAGGAAATGGGGGGGGGGCGTGCCACGGCAGAGCCGCATGTTTCTTTGAGGCGTTTCCCACGCGGAGGGGAACGACAGTCCCACTCAACGCATTCGAGCCTCATGGGGCCACGGCAGTCTGCTGTCTCCCTGGCCTGTCCCACGCGCTGGGCATCGGTGTAGACCCGGCGCGTTCTTTTGGGCCACGTTTCTGCAAACGCCACAATCCGCCCAGGCCACCAGAGCCGATGTGCGCCTGGGCATCGAAGGGGGGGCGGAAGGAAGGAAGGAGAGGTGCTAGTTGGTCAGTTGCCAGTAGTCAAAGCGTCGGTTTTCGGCTCATGGGGGTCGGTATTGCAGAACACATAAGTGACATCACGTTATACGCGCTAATGCTGTAGGGCACAGGCCCACTATTTCCCACAGCACGGAAAGCACCCCTGTGTTGTATCTGGATCGACAGGAAGTGATACATGAGGCTAGTCCCCCACGACATCTGGAGTTCTTGAGCAGAAGAGTCACCGAGTAATCGCTGCTGCCTGTCCCTACACAGATTGGGCACACGCGGAACCACTGAAGGCCCATCAGCTGAATTCCTTTTTAATTGAAGGAGCCATTTGTACGCCTTTTGCTTTTTGAGCCGCGGTGACGCCACACAATGAGGAACGTGCTGTCACGCGCAAAAGAAATCCCTTAACCTCACAGCCGATTATAATCTACCAAACAACCATTTTCAGAATAAAAAGAAACGAGACAAACAAGGTTCAAAACACACCTATAGCTCCTTGGTGTGATACAGAAACACACCGTTGCTGACAGGAAGAGAAAACGCAGGATTTGTTGCGCGTGGCGATGGCAGCACAAGGGGGAAAGCGAGTAAGAGATGGCGTCTGTCGATAATTTGACGACGGATCTTATGCTTCAGCAATGGCACTCACACTCACGCGTGGTGCAGCGTTGCCTGTTTCATCCAAACCGCTCCCCTTTTCCCTTGATGTATCTGCATGTGTCTGCGCCGTACCTTGCGTCCTCCATTCCACGCTTTCAGTCCTAATAAAACAGCCGCATAGAAGCGAAACACGCCTACCAAACCTTCACCCATTTTATTCAACCTACTACCAACCCACAATTTTTCCCTACGCAGCTCTACACTAACTAAAACAATCACTGAAGGCTAGGCCACTTGCCCGCGTTGTTATTACCAGCCGCGGTGGTACAAGTGTTCCGGGGCGCCTGTGAGAGTGCACGTAAGATGCCGGAAGAAGTCCTGTCGGTCGCTACCCCAAAAGAGGTCACGCCTTTCATCTGGCGTCATGCTGCGGAACTGGCCAACTGTGGGGTTGTCATTGATGCGCACAAACGCCAGCTCGCGCATGTAGCCCATGTCGTCAAATCCCCACTTACGCGCCTCTGTTCGGACGGCAAACTCCAGTGGGTCCTCGTCCAAGTACTCGATCTCGATCGGGGGAGGCGTGATGGGGAAGTGCAGGTTGCGGCTCTGTGGAACCGCACACAGGCAGGCCACACGCGAGTACACGCGACGCATCATTATTTTTTCCTCACTGACGCTTTGGACAAGACCTTTCAAATTATGAAAAAAACAAAATCGATATTGATAAGTAAACCAATACAAAAGTAAAATGCAAAAGATGCACAGAAAGCCCAGAACAAAAGAGTTGGTTGGAGTGGTTCATAGTTGAGGAGAGCTATTTGTTAGGCATCAAAGCTGTTGTGCCGCCGTATTCTTCTTAGGGGAGCATTAGCTATCATTCCCACACAGAGATACAGTAGTACTTCCCAGAGCGCAGACGATACGTGCGTGGACGGCACCGCCAGAGGTGAAGACCCACTAAACAAAAGATGCCAGACCCTTCAGATAGAGGAAAAAAAAACAAAATAAGACTTCAAACCTTCGTGAGTTCGTATGAGAACTCTCCCTCTTACATAAAAGATGGCCTGGTACAAAACACGCTAAACGGCCTATATATAAATAGATATAGACAGTTAAACATATATATATATATAGAAATAAAGACACAATAAATCTAGAACACAGAGAGTTGATCGCACCCAGTTGTTGCTAAAGGGATGATAAGACCTGCCTCAGCTGTGGCGGCACTTGTCACAGGAGGCCGTGGTCGACACCACCGCCAGTCCGTCGCCGCACAGTGCTGCTGCCGCTCACATTCGACGCGCCGCCAAGCATGCTCAGCACGTCCGAGTTGGCATCACCGATGAGCGGCTGCAATTGCGGCTCAACGGCGAGCAGAGGATTCGACCGGTCTTCTTCGTAGTCGCCGTCGCTACGCTCCACCAGCGGCTGCACGGGCGCACGGTACGAAGACGCACCGGTCTTGCCGGAGGCGTACGACGACGCGCCGTCGCCGCGGCTCTGCGCATCGTCTTCGCTATCCGCCTCGGCGTTCAGCATCGCCTCCAGCGCGCCCCTCTGCGGCTC